ATTGCTCTTAGAGTTGCCAGGTCCCACTACAGAGCTGCTGTGGAAAAATCCAAGGGAAACTTAATTCAGAAACTTGTTAATAAACTCGATAGAGAGGGCCCGTGGTCACCTTTGTATCACGAATTTAAGGCAAATAGATCAATCGACCACGCATACATACAGAACATCAAAATTAATAACAGATATACCACAGGAGTAGAGTGGGCCATCGAACCACCATTGTCTCCAATGTCTGATTTACCATCTTCAGACGAATTTCTCGGTATCATTAGATCCTTGCCGCTAAACAAGGCTTCGGGTGATGATAAAATATCTAACAAAATGATAAAAGAAGCTTGTAAACTTTCGGGTGACACGATTTTCACTGTCTTTAAACGTTGCATTGCTGAAGGAATATTTCCTCGTATATGGCGGTGCGGTAATATTCGTATAATACCAAAAAGTGGCGACAAGCCACCGGATGATCCTAAATCCTACCGACCAATCACATTGTTACCATCGTTAGGAAAGCTTTTAGAACGTCTTGTAGTGCCCCGGCTTCTGCCAGGTGGAGTCAAATTTCATGATAGACAATTTGGATTTACGTTGGGTAAATCGACAACTGACGCTGTTATATCGGTTAGAAAGTTTGTCACAGAGTCAAAATTTCAATACGTGCTGGCTATTTTCTTAGATATATCTGGCGCCTTCGACAACGCATGGTGGCCCATGCTGTTGCTGAAATTAAAATCATGGGGGTGTTTTAAAAATATTTATTCCCTTATCTCTTCGTACTTTTCACAAGGTACAACTAAACTAAGACTTGGTCATCATTCTGTGTCGAAGGCGCTTACAATGGGATGTCCTCAGGGATCGGTGCTAGGTCCATACTTGTGGAATATCGGCTTCGACGATTTTCTTACGATACCAATACCATCCGGATGTACTCTGAACGCGTATGCTGATGACGGCTTATTACTGGTGGAATCTGATACTAGGGCGGGGCTTGAGAGATTAGCCAATAGATGTTTGAACTTGATATCTCAATGGGGTGAACGTAATCGCTTAACTTTTGCACCCAACAAAACCTTCCAGTTACTTTTAAAAGGTAACCTCAAATCACCGCCGAGCATTAGATTTGACAATGTTACTGTAAAAAATAAAACCACAGTGTGTTATCTAGGATTAGTTTTAGAAAGAAACTTTTCATTTATCGAACATATTAAAATAGTTAATGAAAAGTCTAAAAAGAGTTTCTGTGCATTGACAAGGATATCAACTGCGACATGGGGTCTATCATTTAATACATTAAAGATCATATACGGAGCTACTTATTTAGGTTCTATGTGCTATGGTGCACCTGTATGGGCCGATAGGGCGACCGTAGGCGCTGTCCGTCGCAAACTGTTACAAGGCCAACGACTTGCACTGATATTTTTGTGCAAGGCATATAGGACGGTTAGCACTGAGGCTTTGCCGGTGTTGGCAGGTGTCCTTCCGGTCGATCTCGAGGTGCAGAGACGTGCAGCCATGTACTATTCAAGACAAAACATGGAATGCGATTTCTTGGGCGCGCGGGATCGCGGTAAAATTACAAGATTGCTTCAACAGCAGTCCGATGTCTATAATGACCTCATAGACGAATGGCAGCAACGCTGGGACGAATCATCCAAGGGGCGCCATCTTTACCAATTTTTTCCATCTGTTCGCGAACGGTTGTCGAGGACATGGCTTGAGGTGGATCACTGTGTCGCTCAATTTCTTACGGGTCATGGTAACTTTAAGAGCAAGTTGTATTCATTTAAATTAGTCGAGTCACCATTGTGTCAATGCTCAACACCTAACTCTCATTATGAACAGTCTGCTCATCATATCCTCTGGGAATGTAGTCTTTGGTATAATGAACGTAATATAATGCTGAATAGCTTGCAGGTGACATCTGGGGCGGTATACTATGGGGATCTTGTGTCAACTAGGGTGAATTTCCGTGCGTTTAGGCGATTCTGCCATACATATTATAGAAATCAAATATAGCTCATGTAGGACCCGTAATATTTTGTGGCCGTGGTGCTTCCCTGTTTAAAAGGGTGTATGCCTATTTTACTTCATTTTGTCTCCCGCTTTGCTAAGGAGGGAAGTGGATTTACTGTATTTCCAACTCCTCCAATTTTCTTCTGATTAATTTCGTTGCGGGTTCCAAGACAGTTTAATTTCTTCCTGGGACTTCCCGAGTGTCATAACTCGGTGTGTTCGTGGGTCACTGCTTTGGATCCTGGTGTACAGGAGTTACAGTGGTGGGCGTGTGGGTGGGATTAGTCCCATAAAAAAAAAAAAAAAAGATGACAGATGGCCTCCTGCTCAGATGACAGATGGCCTCACCTGTCACCCCAGGCCTGCGCTTATGGAGGACGGGGGTCGTTCTGCGACCTCCGGCGCCTGAGTCGTCTGCGGTACCTGGCCCGTTCACGAGCCTGGCGGGCCGGAATAGTTCTAAACCTCTCCCGGTCCCGCTCCGCCATCTCCTTCGCAAGCATAACTTGCTCGCAGTAGGAGACGGCAGAGTTCTACGCACTCAAACGATTACCGAGATAGTCTGCTATCAATTTTAGTTGTTTATCCCTCACACCGAGGTGCTCCAGTTTCTCCAGGAGAATTGGAGCAGAAACCGTGTCGAAAGCATTCGCTAGATCCAGGAATATTACCAAAACTTTCTGTTTATTGTTTAGGTGTAGAGAGATAAAGTTCACTAGTTCGTGTGCAGCGTCGTTGGTTGAGACCCTTGATCGGAAACCATATTGTGACGGAGAAATTATTTTGTTGAATTCAAGGTAAGATACTAGAATCTTAGTCAATAATTTTTCTAAAATTTTTGAAAGCGTTGGTAGTATTGATATTGGCCTGTAATTATCGACACAGTCTCTATCTCCCCCCTTGTGGATTGGACGAACCTCAGCTAGTTTGAGGGCCTTAGGGAAAACACTTGAAGTGAATGATAAATTGCAAATGTGTGATAAAGCTGGAGCTAAAAGCTCTCTGTATCATTTTAGAAAAGGAGCAGGAATTTTGTCGCGGCCGACGGTGCAATCATTTTTTAGGGTGAGTATTGTATTTTCAACTTCAGTGTTATTGGTTGAATGTAAAGCGAACGATTTAGAATTAGTAATGTTTCTATGTATTTCTGGAAATCTATAATTGATTTGAGGTATTTTATCGGCTAAGTTTTTTCCAAAGTTAATGAAATAATGGTTTATATTATTAAAGACTTCAAAGGCGTTATTTTCCGAAAGAAGTTCGGTAATGATATCATTACGTTTTACTGTATTTTTCACTAATTTAATCATTTCCCAAAGTTTTTTGTTACCTACAGTAGCTGCCTTTCTTATTTCTATTCTTTCAAATTCTCTTGTCGCGGTTTCTCATGCATTTTAGAAGACCTCTGGTAATCCAGGGCTTATTGATTCTTCTGTTATTGGAAGTCTTAACAACAGAAGTATTTTTAGAAATTACGTAATTAAGAGTAAATATAAAGTAGTCCGTGGCTATGTTTTCATCAAAGGTGTTGTAAATTGGGGTCAAGTCCAGGCTCATTATAACATTATCTATCACAATCAATTTTGTGGGAATACTTTATGTAGGTTTTATTAAAGCGAAAGTTCAAGTTAATTGTTAGAATAATACTGTCATGGTCCGTAATAGAAGTTTCCGAAACGTAACAATATGCCAATTGTCTAGCCTTAAGCATAACATGATCCAGGCAGGTCTTATTTTGAGTAGGTAAGTTATGTGCTGGTAACATACCATGTGTTGCTAAAAGGTTTAAGTAGGTAGAAGAATTTGTATCATTAAGATTTCATAGAAATGTCCACATTAATGTCGCTAACTAGAATAATGTTTTTATAACTAGAATATTTTGATAAAAGTTCGTCTAAGGATTCAATAAATCTAGTAATATTTCTAAGTCCCGCCGACCGGTAAATTGCTAAAACTATCGTATTAGCATTAATTGTCAATTCCAAATAATTTGCATCCGATAATATAGGTTCAGTTGTTATTATTTTTGCAGATTTTTTATGATACACAACTACTCCCTCATTCTGCGTATTGTTAAATTCTGTACTACAATGAACATAATTCGGTAGGCGAGGAACGGAACGCGAACGGTAGCCAACACTCCGTTAAAATTATTAGGTCCCAATCAGTTTGTGATCATTCAAGTAATGTTAAAAACCAGCTATGTTTCGGTTTATACTTCTGATGTTTTGACAAATTTATTTAAAAGAATCAATATTTTGCGGCATTTTATGAAACGTATGAATATCGCAATACGATGAGGACGCTACTTGTAATTCATCCAACTCGTTATTTATATCTAACAATCTATTCATTTTTTGTTTTTATGGTCTTAATTGTATTGTCAAATGTAGAAATAATAAATTCCAAAAGTGGGTAAGTAGCACCATCATAACACGACTTGGTATGCTTAGGTTATGTGCATATTATGCTTATTATTTAGTAAGGATATAGGAAATTGTAAATAAGTTATATAATTTTATTTTGTTATAAAAGGAATGTGTACTTTTGTATATTTTTGTGGTGTAGGTATTAGTGTAAATATGGGTTGTTATTGTGTAGTGTAGTGTTTGAGTTTTGTTTATTTTGAAATTTATTAGTTTGCAGTGTACACATAGAAAAATCTGGCTGACATAGTTATGTTTATTATTCATACATTTAATAGTTAAAATCTGACATGTTACAACACAAAACAGTTTTATGATTTTTGAACAATTTAGTCATTCACTAGTACTACATGGCTGGCTGTTTGAAACCGTTTCGGAATTTTTACATAAGTTAATTAAGTTGTCTAAGGTCAATACGAATCGGTTTCGAATTTTCCATGGTCTTCACATAGATTCTTCCGTAGGAGTTCCACGAGCTGTGAAGATCCTTGTTCGCCACCATCGTCGGGCGTGATAATAAAGTTGTTTACCTTTTGTTGTTAGCAATTCCGCAATATATATTGGTTATGAGGGCCCTGGTAGCTTCAAGTTACTGGTATTTATTTTATTAACCGTATGCTGCTTGTTATAATCTCTAGTATTTTTAATAAGGTTATCTTTTATAGATACTGTAGTAAACTCCACTAGGATTGGGCTAGTGTTTTGATCCTTGTTTTTTGGTTTATTGCGGATTACTAGTACGTCGCGGATATCACATTCAGAAATAGGTTGTGCCAGTAGATCGCCAACGGTTTTGACAATTTTTCGCAAGGTCAGCTTATTTTCAGATTGCTGGATTGGAATGTTGCGGAGGTCAATCATTGATGCACGCGAATTTTGCTCAAGAAGATCTACTTTCAATTCCAAGGAATGAATGCGTCCCAAGTAAGAGTTTTTTCTCGCATTCTAGGGTATTTATTCTATTTAAAAATTCGTCGTATTTTTCACTTAAAAAATCCACCGTCTTTTTTATCTCAAGTTTCTGTTTTTTTTTTGTTATAGTAGATTCGATTATTTGTTCTAGCTTCTTAACTTGTCGAAGTTCAAATAACTGATTCATAATGATGGTTATACTTTCCGATGTTTCGCCCTCCACTTTACGTTTACTTTACGTTTTACCACGGTACAATTATAATACAGTACTCCAACTTCATACAAACGGACGAAACGCGAGCTATACCTACGCGCCTCGATCTCGGGGTGCGCTCGGGGCGCAGACAGTCACGGCTGTACCGCAGTGTCGAACGGACGGTGCGTTGTTTTTTTAACAATAAAAAATCTGTTAATATGACGAGTAGGAAATATTGTGCTGTTTTTGGTTGTATGAATTCGTCAATAACGCATCCAGACATAAGTTTTTTTAAATTACCTGGAAACTGAAAGGTAAGACTATAAAATAATTTTACTTACTGGTAGGTAAGTACATAATGTGTCTTTTTAATGGATAAGTATTTCCTTTTATCTCACCAAAAAAAAGGTGTTTGGATTAATAAATAAAGCGAATAAAGTAACGGAAAGTTATTGAGACGAGTGAAATAGGTAGTTATATGCGGTTCTGAATGAATCATGATACGGTAGGTACCTACCTACTTACGCTTGTGTTAAAACTTCGGTGCATGTGTTTTGTTACTTTGCATAATTCAAAGTAAAGACGTGGTATTTTATTATTAATAATATTTGTTTATTATCTGTGTGTATGAATAATACTAGATTTTTTTTTTTACCGTCTGTGTGTAATTAGATAGGTTTCGAAATTCTCAAAACCTAACGAAAAATACCTGACACCACGCAGATTTTTTTCTTTTAAAAAAAAAATAATTATGCAATAGCTTTACCGCGGCAGTCTCCGAGAGTGCCACATGTATATCTTTTTTCAGACGTCTTCAATGGTTGCAACTGATCCGGCGAGATGATTTTTAAAACAAACCTAACTTTAGTTCCTACCAAGTTTGTGAAAACATTTTAATTTGGAGGATGTATTACATTCATCAAATAGAAAACTTTTAAAAAAGAATGCCCTACCATTGTTGATGCTGCCAAGCTTAGCTAGTACTGATCCAGGAGTCTCTCTAAAAGAAGATAAACAAACCCAAACTGCTCCGTTGGTAGGAAATGAAAATAGTACACAGACTGAAAATGCAACAAATGAAATCTTTGCTCAAACCTCAACGAGTCTTACTAGCAACATCATCATCATCATCATCAACAGCCTATACTAGTCCACTGCTGGACATAGGCCTCTCCTTAGAAAGGAGGTTTTGGCCTACTATACCACGCTGGCCAGACGGGTTGGTATTGGTTGGTTACTAGCAACACTCCAAGAAAAAGAAAATTTAAACTTGAACTCTGGAGGAGTTCAAGTTTGCAGAAAGAAAATAAAATAATTAATATAAATAATTAATGCAGAAAGAAAATAAAATAATTAAATCTACCAATCAAAAAACAACACGCATTTTTATTGAACACTTCCTATTTAATATACAAAGTATTTCATTTATTAATATAAAAAGGATATTTACAATCACAAATCTAAATAGAAACAGAAAGTAGGAAAATATAATTAAAATGCTGAAGACGGGCAGCCCTAACGCATGTTTACGTACCGCGCGGCTGTAGGCATTTATTTCTATCATGCGGCCGAGTTACACTACTGTATTATAATAGTACCGTGGTTTTACTCTGCGCGAGATGACGATGGACTCAGGTAAGAATTTGTCTTCTTTTTGAGTGAGCAGATTAGGTTGAGAATCCGGTCCATAGCTCCCTAAGTCGCCATGTGAACCTTCACACTTTTTATCTTCAGAAGATGGTTTAGACGGTGAAACCGGCATTTCGTAGTTAATTTATCTGTAGTTATATGTCAACTGCAAACCCAAACAACAACTAGATAGTGGGTACCCGCTGCGTAGCTTATATTAGCTTTCAAACGGTAGTCGTGGACGACGGTGCGAGTGTAATATTATGTAGATGGGAACGTGAGCTGTGTTTTGTTGTCTCAGCGTGTCGTCCTATTCACTCAGTGACAGTAACTCCTTTGTAAACTGGGCGCCTGGTAGTAGCAGTGAATTGTTTATTTTTAAGAAACACCAATTTAGTTAAAAATATTTCGAAGAAACAGATAGCGTGGCAGTCAGACAGGTCCGCTCTACACGGAGTCCGAGAGAGAAGCATTGCACTCCACTTCGATCGATTTTCGGCTTCTCGCATCGAAGTCCTGCCAGACATCTTACGCAAATCGTCACTCCGCCTGGCCTGTGGGCATCCTACACTGCATTTACCGAGACGCGGTGTCCACTCAAAAACTCGTTTACCCCAACGGTTGTCGGTTCTGCGGCTTATATGGCCAACCCACTACCACTTAAGCTTGCTGATCCGGTGGCCTATGTCGATAGCCTTGGTTTTCTCCCAAATCACCTCATTGCTGATGCGATCCCTTAAAGAAAAGCCGAGCATAGCCCTTACCATTTGTATACTACTTAATACTTGTAAATTTGAAAAATAGAATAGTCAATAGACAGTAAAATTTCAGCAAAATGGAGTAATTTCATGGAAAATGCATTTCATTTTATTCAGATTTTATCCATTTTTCTGCGTATTTCCGTTTTGTGCTTATCATGTAAACTACAAAAAAGAATCGAGGCTAATCACTGAACCGTTCTCAAGTGTTGCATCAGTGAACCGTTACTAAATGTGAACGCTTAGATAGACGGTATTTATTCCTAGCCTATGCTTTTAAAATATATTATATCGTAACCTCCGGATCTAAAACAGTACATGGTAGAGATAAATTTCAGATATTTACCCGTTTATTGTTATTATTGTTATGTTATAGTATTATTGTTTTATTAGGATACAGTGAATTAAAATTGTATACGAGATCGAATTACTTCCTTCCAAAGCTAGCTAGCTAGTTAGCTAGCTTTGTTATTAGTAAAAATCTAAATCGAAATAATTTAAGATGAAAAATAAATAATCTAAGTTCTAATTTATGTTTCAAAAAACAGTAATTATATTACAGACGCAACAGATAGTAATAAGCTAAGTTTTATTTTCGTAATAAATCTACCTCATTGTTTTCAAACTAAAAGTTATTATTATAGCGATAATATTAGTAAAGACAAGAATAGTAAAAAGATTGAATGGAATAAATCTCTAAGGTGTGGGCATGTAGAAAGAAGGAGGAGCAAAAGATTAAAGGAAAGGTTTCAATTAGGGATGGTATAAAATCATAATATCATTATTATAAATCATATGATTTATAAAACATGTCTTCACACCTGTGACTGATTTACAAAAGTACTGCTACTTAATTATTATTATTACGCTGGTGCAAGAGTCGCGAAAGGTCTAAATCTAAAAAGAAAGGTTCTAATCTTTGATAAAAAGAATTTTAATTGATTTTAATGCCCTTTATATTTATCTATGACGAAATCATAATCACATATGAAATCGCTTAGACTAAAACCAATCATTTCATTACCTTGTCTAAGTAGTTTTAATTGTCGAATGAGTATGGAGCAGGTCAGATACTTAATTAAAGAAAATCAGCTTTCAAGACTGACTACAAATATTCTCTGGATGAAAATTTGTATATTAGGTGAAGTTGTATTCGCTAAGTTAATTTTTTACAGGTGGTACAAAAACACTGGTATCACCTTTCATAAGTAGGTAAATAAACATTTTGTTATCCCAGACGTAACGACTCTGGAAACTGGAATGGAACATGTGAGATTATTTTTTTCTAAGCAGTATCCGTCTCATTACTGCTCACACAAAACATGATTATTGTTAATATTAAGGAAGATAAAATGCAAAAGTATAATATATTTCATTACCACAGATTCCAAGCAAAAAAAAATCCAGCGCGAAAAATGGGTAATCACGGTTCGTTTGAAAAGAAACGAATCGGATTGGTTGTCTAACGAATGTAGTAGAATATGCAGCATACACTTTCGAAGTGAGGACATATACATGCTTAGTAACGGAAGGCGTAAACGATTAAAAAAACTGTGTTGCCTATTTGCACTATAAGTTTTATATTTCGATTATACGGTTTTTAGCCCCTAATAACGAATGCACCATGGACCTGTACCATCAATGGTGCAGAGGAGACAAATTTGTTTCGTTTGCATCATTAATATTAATACAACTACTTACTTTACTCGTTTATTCCATCCAGTCCTACCAATAGTTTGATTATGGAACTATTTGGACATTTTTATTTTCAAATAGACTGGTGTCACCCACCTTCAATCTCTATTGAATCAGTTATCGACATTACTAATATTGACAGGTTGTTTAATACCTGTATGCGATTGCTAAAAACAAATGAAGATCATAAGGTAATAAAATTAAATACTGTGGAAAATCATAAGGTTGAAAATGGCTTGTACCTATTGCTTTCTTATGATCCTTATGATCTTTACACAAAAAGCACAGCTAATTGTATATATTTTTATTAGGTTTAGTATGCCTTACGTCAAAAACTTTGATGCACATACAGTACTCAGTATATATTTGCAATAATTATGTCTGTTAAGCAGAATATGCATTTAAATTCTAAGAGTAGTGATGTACATACCACAAACACTGGCAATAATTATAAACTAATTATAACGTAATATCGACCACAGAAGGTCCATGACTAATAAAAACTTGCATGTTATACTCACACTATTTACTTATTTTCCTTGTAGTACATTAATTTAAGCCATTTAATTCAATAAATACGTAAAAAAGCTTATTTATTTTAGCGTTATCCTGCATAATACCATCCACGCGTCTGTTACAACCTACAACGGTCGTGAACTTGATGCAACCAA